TAAATCAGCCTGGAACCCTTCTATTTCCATTCTGTGTGTTTGGGAAGAGACTCAGACAATGAGGTGGACTCAAGCCCTTACTGTGTTTTCACAGAATTGACATTTCCAGAGTGTTTTCCATGTGCCAGGAACAGTTCAAGATGTTTTATAAAATATATGATCCTTTAGCCTTAAAATGACTTGAGACTTAAAATGGCAGGAAGTCATTAATATTCATATTTTATGTATGAAGAATCTGAGACAAAGAGAGGAAGTGACTTCTTCAAGATCACATAGTAAATAAGTAGCAGAGCCAGGATTCCAACCCATGTCCACTTGACCCTAAGACCCACGTTTCTTGCACCTAGCAGGCATAGGATGGGTTGAGAATGACATCAGAATTTAAGACCTTCATATCCACCTTTATCACGTCCAGTTTATTTGATGGTAGGTTTGGAGGTTAAGTCATGTAGTCATGATAGAAGTCACTTCGATTTTTTGTTTTTTTAACCACTAAAGTCTTGAGGAGGCACCATTCATTGCATTTGGTCTTGACCATAAACAAAGTTCACAGTAATCGAAGCCCAAAAAGCATTGGATGTTTTGTCAGTTCATTGCTACTACTATTATAATCTAGGTTATTTAAATGTTCCTTGAAAAAAGCTTCAGTTCAATGTTTCTTTTAAGAGTTTCTATCTGCAGTTTTTCTGTATGCTTCAATCATCTCAATAAGGGAGAATGAGGCTTCTTATCATTGCATTTCTAAAATATCCTTTTCTGTTTTCTTGAATAGGCATCATGTTCTCAGTATTTGGAAACCATTGCTTTGTATTCACTTAACGATGTGCATGCATCCCTTGGTAGAGTAGAGTTTATTTTTATTTATAAAATGTTGTCCTTCTATCTAACACTTAAGCCCAGATTCATAAATAAAAGACACTGAACACACAGTGACCATGCTAGTTATTTGAGCCAAGTATGACATGAGATTGTTCTGGCAAAGCCAGACTGCATATGGGGCAGTATGGTCACACATTGGCTGGGAAAAGCTCTCTAGCATACAAATATTTCCATTTTATTCTAGTTGAATTACTGACATGACCAGCATTAGTATTTTAAGATATTTGTTTATGAAGGCTTGTTTTGTGTGTTGAATAGTATCTACCTACAAGGGGTCACATTATGGAGATTTAAGGGGAAAAATATAATAAATAATTGTTACTGTTTCTTGAATCTCTACTACATACCTGGCACCTTACTAGATGCTTTATATACTTTATTGTGAGTCCTTCCATATATTCTGCAGGGTGGCTGTTTCCCCATTTTGCAGGTAAGGATACTAAATCTCAGGGAGGTGAGTTAATTTGCCTAATATCATCTAGCTAGTCAAGTGGATGCTGGTAATCAAACATCAAACCCAGATCTGACTGACTTCAAGGCCCTTGCTCTTTGCTATTCTCTGTTGTCCATGACAGTGATTCTGTGAAGGAGATCATAGAATTAGTTGCTTCATATATTTAGGAAGAACTTTTGACACTAAGTGCCATTCTGGAGCATTTTAATTACTCTGGCCACTATTACCTGTTTGCCACTACTGTCTTAATATTCTTCATAACCTTTTTATTGCAGACAAAAAATGAAACCTTTGGTTTCAAAATGCTTTTTTAGACATCTCTCAGGTATCCTGGTGCTAGCTACCTTGTCATACTTGTCTTTGTATTTTTTACTTAGAGCTTAATTTCTTTCCTGTCCGGCTGGATGTGTAGTTAAAGACAGGTGTTTTGGATATAAGCATGGTCTGGGTCAGTGCTGTCCAATAGTTCTTTCTTCAGGGATGGAAATGTCCTATATCTGCACTGTCTAATATGATAGCCACTAGCTACATGGTGCTATCGAGTGCTTGAAATGTGGCTAGTGTCACTGAGAGACTGAATTTTTTATTTTATTTAATTTTGATTAATTTAAATTCAAATAAAAGTAGTCATGTGGCTTGTGGCTCTGTATTGGACAGCAGCACAGTTTGAGGTCATAACTGATGCTTGTGTTTGATTAGTAATGATAGAGTTTGAGGAAATCCAATAATTGGTAGTTTAAAAGTTGCTGATTTGTTTTCTAGTAACAGTAAATTTGGTATTTGTTCATCTTAAAGCCATGGGACCAAATGGAAGAGAATATGTTTCCAAAGCACTTTTTGATCATTCATGATCTCATTTGATGAATAGTTCAGGTATGATAATATTTAGGACTTGTGTTTGCTAACAGATCACGGAAGAAATGCAGAAGAACAAAATCATTTACAGCTTCCTTGTGCAGGGTCTCCTTCTGTTGAGATGGACACCATTCTGGTCTGTTGGTGCTCAGGTTGCAGCATGAAGACCCGGGCAGGAACCCATGCACTATTTTCCTCTGCTCATTGATTGAGATTGGAGAATTCTCTCTCTCCCTTCACCTAGAATGTCCACTAATTTTATTTCTAAAGAGAGCGAAGTAGAAGCAATTTTTAAATTTAGCCAGGGAGCTACAATAATTTGATAATGAACAAAAGAAAATGTAGTTTTCCTTTCTAATATTCCCAAATAAGTCCTTAGGGCTTTGAGTTTAGTTCTTTGTTTCAGAAAATATAACCAAGAACTGAGAAATGTTCTATATAAGCTTAGTTTTTAAATTATGTATCTTCTGAAGAAACTTTTGATGGCATTAAATAATAGTTTTTATATATTTTGAAGAAAAATTTGTTTCCCTGGAGTTTTGATACATTTGGTTTCATTTTGATTGTCTGGTCTTATGAAATAATTTGTGGAAGATACTTATTTTATTATGTGCCACTTGTGTTACCAAGCATATTTTTTCTCTGACATTTTATTTGTAAAATGCTCCTCTCATTTCTGTCAGAGCTCAGAGCCAATCAAGTCTGGATGCTTTTGATTTTTCTGACTGTGCCAGGGCATTGAATGAAGTTCCCTGTAGTGAGAAAAGAGAGCACATGGGACTCGTGACTTTATGTACTCCAACAATAGAGCTTTTATGACATTGGAGGTGGTTAAAAAAGCTAGAAGTAGCTCTTAAACATGGCATCGCTGTGTTGCCTTTTTTTTTTTTTTTGTATTCTCAGAGCTGCCAGGAGTGTATCGGGCCTGTAATTTCCTGTTCTCTGAATCCCCCATCTTTCTGCAGCTCCAAGCTTTGTGTCCCACAGCCTGTGACTCTGTGCTAACAAATCGCTATTGTCCAGTGGGGCGAATGGTGGCTGGAACTAAAGAATTGCTGTCTGGTTTCTATTCAAATCCAGGTAGTGAGATATATGAATGGACTTTTCGAATCGTCATGTGAATAACGTCTGCTCGCCGTGAAGGCTCAGAGCCACGCTAGGAAAGATTAACTCCTAGGCTGACCACTAACATCCTTTGTGATGGGAGGTAGAAACAATCCCAAGTATCAGTTGTTCACACTTAATTTTCCATTTCATTTTCCAGAAGTAGGGTTAGCCATTCAATTATGTGGCTGCTTTTCTCTCAAGTTTTAGTGTTTCTGTTGATAATATGGAAGTTTGGGAAAATGCTAAGTTGTTTTTCACTTATGGCACTGTATTGTTTTCTGTCAAAAGTTTTCTGCCTTACATTTTTTATGGCACAAAGTTATCTTTATAGCATACATGCAAAAATGAGAGAGAGAGAGAGCCGCTTTTTCCAAGAAACCAACCCTTTAAAATGCTTGCCAACCAATGAAGGGAAAAATCCTCCTTTTTTCAGTGCATTCTACTTATTTATGTTTTTTTCTCCCGAAGTCCAAATTTATACAAAGAAAATAGAAACAACTTCACATGCAATATATTAACCAAACAAATAAGACTCAAATTAGGAACTCAAGTTTCAAATTAAGAACTAATTTAAGCATTTGTAAGTATAGCAGAATCAGTATTTTTAAAATCAGATTTGGAAGCTAGACTATAACTCATAATTCTCATTTGTCCTTAGAAAATTGTTATTCATTCTTTCTCCTGTATACCTGAAAAAATGACCGCAGGCTTGAAGGGCCATGCTTTTTACATTCCTTCCATATCGCAGGCACTATGGAACGGAGAGCCTTTTATGTTTCTTTTTGTCTTAAACTCAGACAGCTTTGTAAGCAGTAGTGTGTAGATTACAAGAGTGAGACAAAAGCAGGCGCGACTGAGGAGAGTTGGGGGGGAAGCTTGGGGCACTTCCTGTCACTCAACACATTCCAGATCACTAAAAAATTTCCACACCCTCGGCATTCCCTCTTGCCCACCCCAGATCCCAGTATTTTCTGATTCCATATGTTGTGGTATTTATCACACTCCTCTCTATCTCTGGGCTCTGGCAAGACTGCTTCAGAGGAGATACATTCCTTTAGATTGCACAAAGCATAGCTGGGAAAATGGCTGGCAGTTTCAGAATCTAGTCACGATCGCACGCATGAGCACCTCACACATCCATGCCCCTTTCCCCCCCCTCCCGCCCCTGCAGCTGGCTGACCTGTCTCACCCACTGCTGGCCTATCGAACGGCCAGGACTGTCTGGTTTTGGCTCATGCCTTTGTCCATGTCTGGCTTAGTTCCTCTCTGTCTACGCTTTACTCTACCCCCACCGCCCCGGGCGGCACAAGTGTTTGGCCACACAAAACTACAGATAAAAAAGGTGGTAGAAACTTCAAACTTTGCTAGATTCTCCAGCAGTTTATTCTTTTGAGAATTTCTCCCTTCTTTAAATACTCCATTTTAAAAGAACAAATACAAAATTAATTATCTGAAGGCAAAGAATGCAAAGCAATCTTTGTATTCCTTATAATAACTGACTTCATAACTCTCTCCAGCTGCGTTATGGGGTGTGTATAAAAAGCTTCTGTTCTGAGAACAAAGGAGCACGTGCAGAAATGAGACTAAAAAAATCCACTGACAGTATTTCACTACACAAATTACTTAAAAGATTTTAGTCAAGCCTCTCAACAGATTCAATGTTAAAATGGTTTTTAGTTAAAAAAAAAAAATTGAAAGTGCTTACCCAGTAAAAGAACCGAAGTAGTCCTGAACTGTTACGTAAGACTTTTTACAGTTGGATCTTTGTCAAAAGGGGGTAGGGGTGATGGGAGAAAGCAGCAACAACAATCAAAAAAGTTCGAGCTGCTGTGGCTAGAGGACAACTTCTGTGTTTCCAGATAGGATTCTTGTTGTAGAAATGGAACTTCCAGCCAGCACAGCATCCTGTCCCGGTAGAGAAATGAGTTTGTCAGTAAAAAAAATTAGATACTGGAACCCAGGCTAGACGAGGTATTGAACCGCGCCAGATTTCCTCGCAGCCCTGTCTGCTCAGCTTGCATTGAACTATATATGACCCAGATGATGGACAGAAGCACATTCAGTCATGTGCACACTGGAAGAAAGCGGATTTGCTGGTCCCTGGCAGTGCAGGGGTTTGTCTTCTGATTGGGCTGTGCCCTGATCAGTGAAATGTGAAGCCCTCACCATTCAGAGGCCGTAATTCAGGACTGGCAGTTTGAGTGTCTGGCTGCATCTAATCACTGAGAGAGACTTTGAAGGTGTTGCTTTTGTTTGGTGGCATTATGCACCCAGAGGTTGCTTACACCTATGTACTAGTGTCAGGAGCCATGCTGGTCTTTGTGAAATGCAGGAAGGCAGCCGACTTTGCCTGAATCCTGTCATCTTATTGTTGATAAACTTGGCTCTAACTTGAACCAGTTATTTGATTTGAGAATTTTTGTGATCCTAACCAAGGCTCATGTCCAGACCACACCTTGGCTTTGATTTTATGCATTTGATAAGGGAAAAACAAACATTTGACTTTGAAGCTTTTAGATGATGTAAATTCTCTTAATGAAAATTGGATAGATGAGCAGCAGAGAAGTTAAGTTTTGGATTCTGGAGTCTTTGAACATACTAGGAAGAAGCTTTATCTCTTATTATCTGCTTTGTGAAGCTGCCACTCTTATTCCAGTCCTTAGTCACATAGGGACTGCTGAGGGAAGCTACCAAAGCATAGACCCCACTGAGCTGTGACATAGACTTTAATCCTTGTAAGACAACCACAGTCTACTCTTTCTAGTCTCTCTGAACCAAGGTCCTTGGGATTTATTTCTCATACTTCTGGGCAACTAGAAAACCAGGTCATTATATAGACTCTCAGTTGTGACATTTTTGTTTAGTTTATGAAAGTTACTTTGTTTAATGCAAATTAACACTACTTTTAAAAATTTGAAGCAATAAAATTATATTATGAGACCTTGGCACTGATATATGAAGTCTACTCTACGTGGACCAATTGTTTTTTTCTGGAGACTTTCTTGTCTCTTTAGGAATTAGCTTATATAATCCTAAACTGGTATTTAGACATGCAAATACTTTGGTTTATTTTCTGCCTCTCTTACACTTGTGGAAATAAACTCATGGTCAGTGTATAGTATCTGTTTTGCTGTACGTTCTGGGTTTGGATTTTTGTGTGCTTGTAAGTTCTTGGGTGTTGACTACATTATACAGCGTCCTATGTATGAGGACTGCCCTGGAATTGTTTTCATGTCTTAACGTGGGAAAAGCTAGCTTGATATGCTACCAGATATAAGAATGATCAGTCAGAGAAGAGGGGATGCATGCTCTCTCTCTTTGTGTAAGCCACAAGACAATCTTCTTTTATGAATTGTGGTAAAATATTAGGTAACATAAAAATTAGCATTTTAACCATTTTTAATTCATTAATTAACTAACTTTTTTTGCTGAGGAAGATTTGCCCTGAGCTAACATCTGTTACCCATCTTCCTCTTTTGTATGTGAGCTGCCACCACAGCATGACCACTGACAGAGGAGTGGTGGAGGTCTGTGCCCAGGAACTGAACCCAGGTCACTGAGGCAGAGCATGCCCAACTTAACCCCTAGGCTGGCCCGCATTTTAACCATTTATAAGTGTGTATTTCTCTAGCATTAAGTACGTTTACATTGTTGTGCACTCATTATCACCATCCATCTTCAGAACTTTTTCATCTTTTCCCCGACTGCAACTCTGTACCTAACACTAACTTTCTACTCCTCTTTCCCCATCCCCTGGCAATCACCATTCTGTTTTCTGCCTCTATGAATTTGACTTCTCAAAATACCTCATATAAGTGGAATCATACAGTATTTGCCTTTTTGTGACTGGCTTACTTCACTTAGCATAATGTCCTGTAGACTCATCCATGGTGTAGCATGTATCAGAATTTCCTTCCTTTTTAAGTCTGAGTAATATTCCATTGTATGTGTATATAGCACATTTTGTCTTTTCATCTGTTGAGGGACAGTTGAGTTGCTTTCACCTTTTGTCTATTAAGACAGTCATTCTTGACCATTCTTCTTAGAATCTTATAAGGGCTTCTTTATAGAGCTGCTCTGACCCATCTCAGAAGCTATTCTGTTTTATAAATCGGAAGGGTTTTGATGTGCCTTTTAACTCTAGAGACTAACCAGGCCCTAATATCAGGTTTGCTAGAGAAGGGCAGATTCTTTTCAGCCTTCTTGATGAGACGTAATATATACTACACTCCTAGTTAATACATACTATACTCCTAGTATAAGTTATATATAGTATAAGTTATATACTTATAGTTTATGAGTTTATCTTTCCTATTACACTGTGAGCTCTTCCTGGGCAGGGACTGTAGCCAAGTCCTCTTGAATTGTGCCTGTGCCTCTTGTATAGGCACAGGACCTATAACAAAGTTTTTGTTAGTGCCTTCGAGTTGATTCTGACTCCCAGCAACCCTGTGTACAGCAGAGTGGAACACTGCCTGGTCTCTTTGTACCATCCTCTCGTCTTCCAGTGCTACATCAGGCAGTGCTCTACTGCTCTTCATAGGGTGTTCATGGCCAACTGTTTTCGGGTGGGTGGCCAGGTACTTCTTCCTAGTCTGTCTAGTCTGGTAGCTCTGCTGAAACCTGTCTGCCATGGGTGACTTTGCTGGTATTTGAAGTACCGGTGGCATAGCTTTCAGCATCACAGCAACACGCAGCCGCCACAAGTATGACAACTGACAGATGGGTGGTGTCATTCCCTGACTGAGAAACAACCCCGAGCCGTGATAGTGAGAGTGCTGAATCTTAACCACTAGACCACCAGGGCTGCCTGCTATAACAAAGTAGACATCAATAAATATTAGTTGGAAAAAATGTGAATGGATGAATAATAATAAAATAATAGCTAATTTTTATTGGGTTTTTATTATGTACCAGACACTGTAACAGATATTTTATATACATTAGCTTATCTAATCTTTGAAACAGCCCTATGAGATAAGTACTGTTATCTTCATTTAATAGATGAGGAAACTTGCACAAGGCCTCAGAGCATATAAAAGATATAATTGGGATTTAAATCCTTGTCTCTCTTGGCTCCAGAGCCGTTATGCTAGAGGCAGACTTCATAGTGAGATGATGATCAGTGGGTTTGGAAGCAGGAGACTTAGCCTAAGCATTGATTCCAAGTCAAATATTCTTTCATTGGCCATCGGGAGCTATAGCCCTGTGATAGATATGGTTTATAAGTGTCTATTCAGAGGAAAGCTTGGCGCATTAGTCACTTGGACCTTTTATAGATCTTTAGCTGAACAACTCCTTGTTGAACTCAGTTCACAGATGTTCCTGTGTATATAAATTCTCTCTTACGTTATTTTGAAAGTGCAGTTAATGGAATGCACTTGAACGGCTGCAGCAGTGTTTTTCATTCATTTGTTTATTTGGCAGATACACACCCCCCCCATATACATATATGTTTATGTAATTATATATGTAAGTAAGTAACTGACCCTGTGATAGGTGCTAAGGAGAGAGTCAAGAATAAATCAGAAAAGATTGTTACTTGTAGTCTAGTAAGAAGACAGAAAAATAAGTTAACAAAGTAATATGAGTGAAACAGAAAACCAAGCTGTGAAGAAAATAAAATAGGGTAATCTGATGATGGAGAATGCCTTGAGGGTAGGATGGGATGAGGGACTCCTTTAATGAGGAGATAGTCAGGGAATGCTTCTCTGAGGAACTGAAATATACAAGCTGAGAGCCAAACGATGACAAGAAGAACCCTGGCATGCAAATTGCTGGAAGAAGTGTGATCTGGGCAGTGAGAACAAGATATATAAGAGCTCTAAGATAGGACTGAGCTTGGTGTGTTTGAGGAACAGAAAGAGTGGTATGGCTAAAGTAGAACGAATGCAGGTAGGAAGTCACGTTGGAGGGATAGGATGGGGCCCTATCATGTAGGGCCTTGTAAGCTACAGTAAGAAATGTGGATTCTTTTCCCAAGTGGTAGGAAACTGGAAGATTTTAAGCAGAAGAATAACTTGTTCTGCAGGCCAAAGAAGTCCTTCTGTGCAGTTCATGTCTGTGTTTGGTCTCCTGAGGCCTCCTGACATCACCTTTAACTGGAGTGCTTCACAAGGTGGGGTCTTTGCCAAGGCTTTCATGTTAGTAGCCAGCTCTGGGTGTCGTAGCAGAATGATACTTCTTTTAGAATAGTTCTGGGTTTAATACTGCTTTCATTGCTCTTTCCACATCAGAGAGGGCTTGTCTGACAAGAGCCTCATCTGGGCTTTTTCGCATGTCACTCTTTTCTAGATACTGTTTTGCATGCTGGTTCTCTGTATTAATTTAAGATAAAATTCAGTTCTTAATTTGACCTGGTCTTTCTGTGTCAGTAATTTAGAAGGATGTGTCTTGGCAGATGATGATGGCTGACTGTTCCATTTACATGACGTACTTAGAGATATATTGATGGGAATCTGAAATTGACGAGTAAGAATAAGTTTCCCAGTATTCTTAAATAAGGTTGTATTCAGGTATTCTTACTCTAGTAGAGTTAATTGCTAACATTTGGTCCACATTATTTTATTTTTTTTCAAATTCTCAAATACTCTGAAAAATGCAGAAAATAACATTACACACACCTGATAGTTTCATTTTATAGGTCATTGGCTTTCAAATTTTTTTGACCGTCATCCACTGTAAAAAAGATATTTTATACTGTAGTCAATTATACACATATTTGTATATATCTATATATCAATTTCTATATATACCTGAAACTACACTTTCATGAAATAGTACTTGTCCTTATTATATGTAGTGTCATCTGATATTTTCTTTTTTTACTTTAAAAAAATGTTGTTTGCAAGCCACTAAATTGACTTTACAGCCCACTGAAGGGGTAACTTGAACTTTGAATAACACTATAGGTGAGAAAACTGAGGCTCTGAGAGATTATGACTTGTCCAGTGTCACAAGCAAAGAAGTGGCAGAGCTGAGACTTGAACCCAAGCTTGATTCCAAAGCCCTTATTTGTTCTAATACATTATATAGCTTT